AATCCCTCCTGGGTCTGGGTGCGTCGAGAGGTGAATGAGGAGTAGGTCTAGGCTTTCTTCGACGTCAAAGAGTTCTATAATGGTTTCGTCGACGAGGGTGGTGGTGTCCTCAGTCGATGGTGACGTCGGCTCTGTTGTATTCGAGGATATGTTGGAGGAAGAAGCGGTACTGTTCGAGGAGATGGATGGTGTTCTCAAAAAGGGTGACGAGTTCTGGTTCCTCTTCACGTAGAGCGGCGAAGAGGAGTAGGTCAGTGTGTACCCACTCGAGTTCTAGACAGATGTGGAAGATGAGGTCTCTCGGTTGGCTTCGCAAGCGGTGGTCAAAGAGGTAGGGTCTAAGGTTTGCCCTGTTTAGGAGGGGAGTCCTTTCGGGTGCTTGCGGTCTTTCCGGGTGATCGGATGCGTGCGAGGGATCTATGTTTCTTTGGTGTGATAGCGGCAACGGTCTTCCTTGCAGAAACACTCGTGCTGGAGGGCGTGGATGTGGGTGTAATGTACCTTCTTTCCTGGTACGAACTCGTGAAAGGCGTGGGTGGTGTACGGCGGTCCTCGAAGTAGGGCCCGGAGATCAAAGGTAGGAGGGGGAACGGGAGTGATGGGTTCTTGGGGGAGTCGAAGGGGTTTCCTTATACGTGGTATGATGACTAAGGGTGACTGGGGTCTTGGTAGGGCACAGGGTTCTTCCTCTCAGTGCAAAAGATGCGACGGGGTTCTTCCTCTTCCTTCACTTATACGGGCACGCAGCCTCTTTACGAGTGGAGGGTCGCCTTGGGTGACAAGTGGGTGGACTTAGCTATCAGGTTGAAGACCAACTGAGGTCTTGTAGGGTTTAGGGTTGTTTAGGAGACTTCGCTTTTGTCAAGGCTCAGAGGGGCCTTGGCGCACGACGGTGCTATGACAGTGATCGAGGAGGGCTGAGCGTGGCACTAAGCCTCAGCACGACAAGGATCACACAAGTTCTTCCCTTGGCTTTACTATAGAGGAGGGCGTCGCGCTGACGGATGCACTCTACTGTATCGTCAAAGAAGAGGTCAAGGGCAATCACAAGACGAGACTAAGTCTTGGATGACAGCGGTCAGGAGGTCTGACTTGAAGGGACAAGAAGGGAAGAGGGTTCAACTAGTCTGATTGCAGACGAAGCGAAGTCTAAGGAGACAAGCTACAACGGACCGGTTTATATACTCCTAGGGTGTGATGCTGAGTCATAGAGTCCCAGGCGTGTCACAGCGTGACACGCCTCCTAAATAATATATCGTAGATCGAGCGGAGAAAATACGGAGGTCTACGGAGATACCTCGGGAAGATCCAGAGATCTGTATCGTACACGGAAAGATCCGAAGATCCGTATCGTAGATTGTCTCGGAACAAAGCGAAAAAGATACCCATCGTCACGTGGGGTTAATACATAAGCAGATCACGTGCCAAACCGTAACAAGGGGTCTGTTCATATTTTTATTATTATTACAATATTATATATGGCCCATATATGATATTGTAATAATAATAAGAATATGAACAGACCCCCAGTTTTGGCAATATGTGGCCACCACAATAGTTGCCTGCAGGATAGCACTCACTAAGTTGAAGTTGGCCCTTTTAGCTTTGACAATCACTGAAGGGAGTAATAAATGGTTTCATGATTGAATATCACTTTAGGTGACTCTGCCAGCATATCTAAACCAGATGTTAGGGAATAGAGAGGATGGATTAGTACTACTACCCACTGGAATAAATCCCAGGTGGTGCACATGCCAAGATGTAGTCAATGATCCCACTAAATGAATGGTTCCTGCCATCATGATTACATGTAAAGGTTTGCTCTGGAATCAAAATGAGATCTGGTAGAGGAACCCTGCTCATCATGAATACAGGAGGGAGTGCCGAAACCTATCAATCGAGATCGAAGGATTCTAGAGTTTTTGTTTTGAAGTGGACCAAGTGGTGGAGAAGCTGGGTAAGAAATGGGAATAGGGCAAGATCTGCCACGGGTCACTGTATTGTGCTCATGCAATACTAATAAGGGCAATGGACACCGCTGATACGCTCCCAGTGTGTGTGGGGGTGCCGTTGGGACTGCTTGTGACTTAGGATTACGATGTCTGCGATGCAAATTTCTTAAACCTCTGCCAGTGCCCCATCCTTCATCCATTCGCAAAAGAAAAAAAAAGGTGAGTGACAGATATGGCACGAGAACTTGAATTTAGCGTAGTGATCCAAGAAATGTTGTCGTGCACGGAGCACAATCATGATTGACAGACTCGAAGGGTGGAAGCTACTATCTGCATCGAGCAAGATTCGATCCCCTAGATGTTCAGTTCTAGAGATGTCACGGTTGTGCATAGAGCTTTGAAAAAAAAACCCCCCAAGATCGGGGTCTATCAATTGAGCTTGGGCTTGGGCTGACGATGAATGGCAGATGAGGTTTATTTACTTCTCTACGGGATAAGCTCGGTATCGACGTCCACAGGGCAAGACCAGGACCGACTGGAATGTCTGATTCTAATCAATTGGGAGAACTTGCACCACCTATAAACTCTTGTGATGTTTGCATAGCTAACTTCAGACCAGAGCCAAACCACTTGCTGATAAGCTCCAAATGCGAACTCAAAGACTACGGGGGTTATGAGTATATGAATACCGACGCGGGACTGCTTGCTGGCAGACATGACACGCTAGGTCCAGCAGCGATCACCCTGCAGCCTGCGTTCTCTCGAGCCGCTTATTTGCAGCTATCGGTTGGCCACTCGCAGGGTGCGCGAGATCCGCGAGGCGCGCCTCCCGCATGCGCAGCAACAATTGCGTCAAAAAGCCGGGGTGACGACGTCGTCCCCAGTGCTATCGCCCGCGCCACTACCTCCAGCAAGCCCGGCATCGGGCGCGGCGTCGGAGTAGCGTTCCCAAAGCGTGTACAACGACAGAATCTCCTGCGCGATCATCGCAATCGTGGGCAACGATACGCGCAGGCCGGCCATGAACCGACAAAGTCCTGCTGCTGTGCTGGGGCGGGTTTGCGATGCACGCTGCCCGAGTTCGTGCGCGATGAGCGCGTGGTGGGGGCGCTGGATTTGCAGCCTGAGCCTGAATTGCGTCGCGCGTCTTGTCGTTTAGGACGAGCGTGAGGTAGATCGCAGCGATGGCGATCATGTGTGGGGGGTAGAGGAGACAAAGCTCGGAACGGTAAGTGTCGTTGATGATGAACCTGTCAAAAGACGGGACGGGACACACGCGTTTTCACCACACGGGTCCGCCCAGGTTTTTAGTTGGTGTTGGTATAGAAGGAGGGGGGGGAGGTTATACGTGCCAGGCGGTTTGCAGTGGGCCTTCTTCCAGCTCTAGCCTTCCTTCACCCGTACCCCAATATCGCAGCCGTTGTCGACCCAACCCCGACCTCACCTGCTTCTGCGACGAACGCGTGCGCTGTCTCCTTCCCGCACAGAGTGAGGAGCGTGCGATATGGATGGAACACGACTAGGTCACACTCGAGGTCGCTCACGAGATAAAACTCCATCTCGGCGAGCTTCGAGTTATCTGACGGAAAGTTTTTGATGCCGTAGCCCTCCTCTGCCGACAGCGTTTGAGCTGCACAAGATCGGAGAAATTGGCAAAAAGAAACTGTGCACGTACGACTGAACGTGATGCGTGATTCGGAGACGACATTTTTGATATGCACGGGAGATTCTTCTGCTTTTGCGGCGACGTAGCAGCATGCTGCAATCACGAGGAAAGGATCTGTCTCGCAGTACAAGTTCTTCACGTAGAACCGTCTGAAGAAGACGGTAGCTGTTGCGATGACTCGCTGACGCAGTGGTAAGCGTTTTCCCAACAGCGCAATTACTGAAGGTCGTGCGTTAGCTAGAATGGATGGTGTTGAAAGATGGGAACATCTTACGATTCGCAAAATAGATGTTTAGAAAGTCTATATGCTCCGGACAGTCAACATATTGGAGATCTTCAGCACGAGCCTGCTTGAGGGTGGCACGATCTATGACCCAGCGTTTGCTACGAGAGATTATTCAGGTTGAGGGGATCGTAAACGGACATACTTGTGTGAGCTCGCCCAGAAGTCGGTTGCCATTTGAGCCAAGACGCCATCTGCACCTCGGACCGAGACAGCCACCAAAAGTATGCCTACGGCTAAGCCAACGGCACAACGGAAACGCAACAGAAAGCGCAAGAGGCGCCTCGCATCCTCCTCTTCATCGTCCTCATCGTCACCCGACTCTTCAGATTCTCGTCTGATCAAATACCAAATAAGCTACCATAAAAAGGGTCCTCTAAAAGAGCAAGCTACACCATCCTCAGAGGATGAATCATCTTCGTCTTCCACTTCGCTCTCATCATCAGATTCAGAGAACGATGTCAAGGTGGTGCTGGTGCATTAGCCTCTCCCTCTTTGTCCTCCGCGAAACCTCCTCCTTCCAGGCCCAACCAGTCGCCTTCGCCTTCACCCCCCCGCCCGACGTCGTACCACCGTTTCTGGCTCCCGCGGAAGGCTCCAACAATCAGCTCAAGACGAACAGGCTCTACGGAATCGATTCAGACAGTTCTGGATGGCATCCGTGGCCGAAGCGTTCGGCGACGATCTGGAGCAGATTCGTAAGGTGCGCGCGCCCCGCGCATTTTTGTCACTGGGTCGCTTCTTTTTCTGCCCCCCTCATCGCTCACACCCTTTTTTTTTTTTTTTTGCCCATCGCAGGAGCCGAATATGACCGAATCGCGTCTTGCTTTGTTGATCGATTCCCTCGCTTCTGGTGGTGAAGTCTTTTCGTCGCGTGCAGCTGAGAACGGAGAAATGGACGAAATGGATATTGTATTGAATAACACTTAGAGCGTGAGCACCTTTTGGTCAGTGTGTCGCTTCACTCAAGCTTTAGGGCCTTACGGTACGGCTACAGTATATTCTATCCATGTGCCAGGTGTTGCACAGGGACACTCTGTAGTGACGTTCAAGGCTTACCAGCTGACTCATGAATGCATTGTTGTTTTGCCGAGTAATTGGCGCCATAGTGTAGTGGCTATCACAACGGATTCTGACTTTCTTTTCAACTGTTGACTTCCGTTAACCCAGGTTCGAACCCTGGTGGCGCCTTTCTTTTTTTTCTCGGGCTAGATTTTGTAATGCAGATGCTTCATCGCTGTCCACCTGGCATTTGCACGGCGGCGTCAAAAGTGAATTGAGAAATTCAAACTCGAGCATGCACAGATGACGTGACGACGTAATGGGCACTGGTACACGTATTTGTCCGACAATCGAGCTTTCTTCCTTACCTCCACTATCCCTTTATCATTGCCTCTATACGACAGACCAAGCCCACAGCTGCCACTTGAGGCATCGGTAACATTACTCTGGCCACGCGATTCTTCCGCGGATCTTCGCTACTGCCGATTCTAATTCCACGTGGTTGGGCGTGTCGATTGTCCATATTTACAAACAAACCCAATCCAACCTATCGGCCTCAACAACCAATGACTGAGGACATCGATTCGAGCCAGCCCAACCAAACGGCAGGAAATCTCACCGATTTCCTTTTGGCGCAGAAATCTGGATATCTCCGAGCGGTAGAGGAGGGCGAGGCACAGAAGAACTCGTGGACTATTTCCATGGGCAACGAAGCCGGCGGTCTGACTTTTTTAATTTTCACACAATTTACGCCCCGTTCCTGACGGGCGCAATCTATACTTTTTAGATCTCGACTCGCTAGCGAGCGCCATAGGTTACGCGTGGTACGCCACCCGCCACCTTGGACAACCGACGGTACCGCTACTGCAAACGCCGCGCGGCGACGTCCTTCTCCGCTTGGAAAACCTGTACGCGCTCGAATTCAGCGGCACTGACTCGGCAGTCTGTCACGGGCGACGAACTGCCCGCCCACGCTCCGCCAACGACAAGATATGCCCTACTGGATCACAACGTTCTCGCGGGACGATTTGCGGCTGACGACAAGGCGCGTGTTGTCGCGATTGTGGATCATCACGTGGACGAACAACATCATCTTGACGCGTCGCCGCGGATCGTCGAGGTGCCGACTGGGTCGTGCTCCTCCTCATCGCGCGACTGATCCAGAAGGATTGGCCCGAGGGCATGAGCCGCGGCATCGCGAGGCTGCTGCTCTGTGCAGTCTTGATTGACACCCACGGGCTCAAGCCTGGAGGAAAGGCGGTAGCGGTGGATCGGGAGGTGGCGCCGTTCTTGCTTGAGAAAGCCGAGCTGTTGAGCGCAAGTGCGGGCGAGGTCACGGACGTGCACGACGTGAAGGAGCTGATGGAGCTGACGCAGACCCTCGTGACAAAGAAGGATAGCGTGGACGGGCTCAGTCCGCGTGATCTGCTGCGGAGGGACTACAAAGAATACCGGATCGTGGCTACGTCGAAGGCCGAAGAGGGAGGCCTTCTCGTGGGGCTAGCAAGCGTGCCTAGAAGTGTTGAGATGCTCACCGGAGGGAAAAAAAGGGCGGAAGGGAGGTGGGGGAAGCCTGCGTTGGCTGGTTCAAGGAGAGGGGTTTAAGCGTGCTCGGGGTGTTGACGAGCTGGACAGAGGAAGAAAAAAGGGACGGGAAGGGAAAGCATCGGAGGGAGATGATTTGGATAGTGCGGAATGAGGAAGGATTGAAAGAAGGGCTATGGAAAGGACTAGAGGAGAGCAATGAGCTAAAAGTTGAACGGAAGAAGGGAAGAAAGTCGATTGAGGGTATGAAAGAAGTGGCAGGGAAGGATCTTAAGATTAGAATGTACGAACAGGGGAACAGCAAAGCTTCGAGAAAGGTGATTGCACCACTCATTAAGGAGATTATTCAAAGTTATCTTGTAGCCACGTGAATAGTTAAAGTACGTAATTAGATCAAATTTGTAAAGTTAACATACGTAAATAAGCTCAGAATTGCCTCCTTTAATCTAGTCCAACGCCCCATTCTCTCTTCTTCTTTTGCTTTGCTCCACCACCTCACTCAACCCCCCTCCCCCCTTTGCCCCTTTCCCCCAAACCCCTTTCCTCCTTCGAACACAATGGATGCGCCATCTCCCGCAACAGAGGATCCCATTCCATCTCTTACCGCACCTTCGGCTACCATCCCTCCCTCTTCTAACCAAACATCTTCAACACCAAAGTTCTCAAATGGACTGTCAGTTTCCCACTCACTCACTTTCTCCCCCAATCTTGTCCTATCTAATACCACCCGCATATAGCCACATACGTTCACGTATAACTGTCGTTTGCGCAGAGGTATTTTCTCCACACTCTATTTATACTCCCGTCTCGGCATTCTCACCCAAGACTTAGTGCAAGCGGTTGAAGTTGAGGTGCGATAGGCGAACTCCATGCGGCTCCTGCGTAAAGCGTGATACCGTTCAACGCTGTCAGTACACTGCCGCTGCTGCTGAGAAGATGTCCGTCTTTCTACCCCACCCCACCCCTTTTTTTTTATATCTTTTTTTTGACGGCTGTTCTCAGTGACGTTCAGTCGCTACATAACCGGCTTCAAATCGTCGAGTCTCAGATTGCCCAGATTTTTGCTGGTGGCCTTCGTGCCCCAACCGCGCTTGCCAGTGTCTCCTCGGACAACCTGCCTTTTCCTCACAATGAACACTCCATGCTAGCTGTTGGACCCCGTGGGTCCTCCGTCACCCTCTCTCTTGACGACGTCGCTGCGCTTTGGCTTGAGCACCTCGACTTTCCTCGTTCATATCCCGCCGAAGCGAGCACGTCATCTACTCCCGCATCGTCACCTCTTGCTACCCCTGTCAAGCTTGAGCCTTGCACGACTGAGCTGGCTGTTCATGACGAACCCAGTTTCCTTGCAATGATCCCATCTTTTAGTATCTATTATCCCACCTCTATCTCTCAGGCTGCCGTCACGCCGTCGCTCATCGCGTTATTACCTTCCGCTTCCACTGTACGGTCCCGCATCACTACTGCCGTTGAAGAGACCATGAAAATGCATCCGTGTTTCAATGTGAAGCATTTTCGTACTCGGGCCGAGAGCATGTTTGTCTGGGCTAAGGAGGAGGACGGACGAGGTGTTGCCGGGCCTAGCGCGAATGCAAAGGCCGATCTTGCGAGGTCTATTTTTTTCCCGTCATCTTGTCCACCGCCCCCTGTCGCACAACCACCACGTCCAGCGCCAACCCTTTCATTCTTTGCTTCTGTTTCGGTCGCTTACGCCCTAGGCGTGTTGGTTTGTAGAGAGAACGAGACAGCCAGTGAACCAGATGCTCAGAAGTCGAGCACGGCGTCCAAAATGCCTCGTTTGGAGGATAACCGCAGTGCGTCTTCCCAGAAAGCGGCTGTATGGAACAAGTACTCCGCTTCGGGCCTGTTTGCCCTGTCAAGACAAGCAATGGCTGGTTTTGAGATGGCACACACCTACGACCTGGATTCCGTGGTTACGTATCTTTTGCAGATCCTCTATTTGCTTCATGATAGCAGGCCTCGTGTCGCACACATTATCTATCCTCTACTCGGAAAAGTCATCAACATCGCCTTGATGATGGGTCTTTCCACGGATCCGGACGAGTTTCCTGCCAAGTACAGCCTCTTTGAAGCTGAGCAGCGCAGGCGTATTTGGTGGGACATTTACTATTACGACGTGTAAAGTCTTTTCCTTCAAAAGCGTTTGTGTCTTATACTTACAATTCCGACTTGAAAGCTTCATCTCCGATGCCATGGGCCAAGGACCTTTGATACAGGACGGAACGTTCACAACGAGGCTTCCTGCTGATGTAGATGAGGAGCAGTTTGGGCCATCCTCAACTTCTCTACCCCTACCCATTCCTCGTCGAGCTGGTGGTGACCCGACGGAAGTTGGCTTTGCCTATTTCATTCAGAAGTGTCGGTTCGTCCCGGTCTCCTTGTCTCCTATTCCGATCACTGATGTGTCCACAGCCTTGCGCAGCTCGTCAAGAGCGTCAAACGGAGATATCTTCGTGATAATCCTAGCGATTCTTCGGAATCCTCGGTTGAACGCGCAGAACAATTCGAGTCTGAAGTCAAGAGCTGGATATCAGACCTCCCAAGGGTGTTCCGTTTTGATGTTAACAACACCGACGCGTCTCCACTATCCTGCAATATTTCCCCCTCACCGAACCTCCAGGCCCAGCGTTGCGAGCTCACGATCATTGCCAATCACCTCATACTGAAGGTGTTCCTTCCGTATCTTAAAAATTGCACTGCACCATCTTCCGATGGCCTCCCACGCCGTGTGGTATCCAGCGTCGTTGACGCGGGGCACGCTATTCTTCAGGCTATGCGCGTCCTTCACTCAACTTGGCGGCAAACTCAACCCGCTGCTTTCTTATTCTATCCTTTCGGAAGGACGCTGTTCGACACCGCCGTAATGATGGCCTGTGCTGTCATCGCCCACCCGTCCAGCGCATCTTCCAGCGTGGCAATTGCCGATGTAACTGCCGCCATTGACATCATACAGGACACGCGTATCGGATCTGGGAGGTCCAAACAGGATGACCGTAAGGACTTGTCGGAAGCAGAGAAGATTATCACGTTATTAAAGACCAAAGCCGAGGCGAAGCTTGCCGGTGATGACCATGCAGCTCATCATCCCCTTTCGGCCATTGGTTCGAAGCGAAGGCATGACGATGTCCCTGATGCTAGTAGCTTTGCGGATAGTTTTGAGTTACCGTATGTTGGAGCCGGTGTCAAGGCGTCTCATCCATCATCAGATCCTTCCGTCGAGACCACTCTCAAGGTACCAATCTCTCTGCCAAAACCTAGAGCCAAACAGCGTTCGGGTTCGTCAGTGCAAGACTTGTGTCGTGTGTCAGAAGGTCCGCCACTGGCAGAGAGAGACGTAGGCCAGATCCCTGTCCGTGGGCGTCCACGAACGGATTCCAACGTGCACCATCGCAACTCATCAACAAAAAAGCACAGTACCCCCACCACAGCTTCTACGCACTCGCAATCTAGTACCCCTGCCCCCGACCAAATCGGCTTCCACCCAATGCCCGAGCTCACCCGACCTGAATCGCGTCCTCATGCGTGTGCATCAGATTATGATGCTACGATCTATACACCTACCTCATCTGTCTACGAACCATCGACCCAGTTGCCCAGTTTCCCCTTGCCGCCTTCTATGCCAC